ATGACAAAGTGTGATGGTTAATGATATTTGTTAAGTTAACGAGATTATTGTCCTGAGTCCTGGTAGTATAGTGGGGACACGTTGGGCTGATAACCACAAGTTCAGCAGTTTGAAATCATCCCTCACTCTGAGGGAGAAAGATAAGGCTTTCTGCTCCTGGAAAGAGTGACAGTCTCAGAAACCTACAGGGCAATATTTTTGGTTTATATTTCTCAGTAGGAGCCCTGGTGGTATAGTGGGTTACATGGTCTGCTATCTACAAGATCAGCAGATCAGAGCCACCAGCTGCCAGCTGCTTCTTGGGGAAAGATAAGGCTTTCTATTCCCATAAAGAATTAAAGTCTCAGGAACCCACAAGGGCCAGCTCTACCCTGACCTATAGGGTCTCGGAGGCAAAGTAACTCCATTTACTTGACTGCTAGATGGCCCGTCCACTCCCCTGTTGTATCTTGGAAAGCCCGCTGGTGATTGTTTTTAAAATGCACTCATGCATGCCCGGGATCAGGACATTGCAATTAATCTTGTTATTCTTTAATATTATTATTTTTTGATGCTGTAATCAGAATGTTATAATTAATCTTATTATTCTTATTTTGTTAACCAGGATGTTATACTCTATCCTGCTATTATGGGTGTTTGGGGTTTTTTTTTGGTATAAAGAATGTTAACATTAATTTGGCTAATCTTGTTACTATCACCCCTACTATCAGCCCATGATAAATGATCTTTGTGGTCTTTGCCTTTATCAGCTTGCTAGTAATTTCTCTGGCTGCTGCAGTTTAGGGAAGTGCTGTTAGCTTCCTCACAAACCAGCTACAGCTGAATCTGTAAAGACTCTTATAAATTTTAAAGACATTATAATGGCTATCATTTATTTGAATCCACAACATCTCTATGCATTGGAATCGACTTGTTGGCAGTGTGTTTTAGATACCTAAATCTTAGTGGTTTGGCAGATACTATGTAATCCTCTTCCTCTGTGATCTGATGTAAGCAGCCAATCAGTTGGAAGGGTGTTTCCTTGGGACATTGGGCAAAGCTGTACTCTCCCTCCCTTTGCTCCACACTCATTTTGATCATTTGACCTTCAGCTCTTGACGCAGGAGAAGCCTTCAGCCTTCCACCTGATGTGAAGATTTGGGATTCATCAGCCCCTGCCATTTGAGTCAGAAGAAGCCTTCAACGTTCAGCCTGACTGATGGATTTGGGGCTAGTCTGGTAGACCTCTGGAAAACCAAGCGTAAAACATGGTGTTAAGAGTAATTCTAGAGGGTTCATGAGGGAGAGGGGAGTGGGGAGGGAGGGGAAAAATGAGGATCTAATGCTGGGGTTTTAAGTGGAGAGCAAATGTTTTGAGAATGATGAGGGCAATGAATGTACAAATGTGCTTTACACAATTGATGTTTGTATGGATTGTGATAAGAGTTGTATGAGCCCCCAATAAAACGATTGAAAAGAAAAAAAAAAAGGTAGTCCTAGAGAATGATGATGGCAACAAATGCACAAAAGTGCTTGACACAATGGATGGATGGATGGATTGTGATAAGAGCTGTACAAGCCCCCAATAAAATGATTTTTTTTAAAAAAGGAGTAGTCCTAGAAGAAAAAGAATCTTAAGGATGAATTTTCTTAATTGGTTTTCAAGTCTGGCTCATCTTACATGCACCATTTACTCCAGTAATAAAGACGACACTGCTAATCCATGGTGCAAGCTGGCAATATATATGCGAAATGTCCCCATTATTGGATCATATATTTGTGGGAGACAAAGCTCTGTTTGTGTATTTGGTACCCTTCAACATCTCTGTCAGACTAAGAAGTATAGAAGTAATCTGTTGGCCCATCGTTCACTGAAGTGTAAAGAGAAACAGATTGGCCCCGGGTTCTGGAGTCAGCTCATGCACTGCATGGAAGACTTGGAAGTTGCCACTTGTACCCCCAAATAAAGCCTTGTTTCTTGTCGTAACAGCTGATTTTGCCAAAAACCAATCCTAGGGTCTTATCCTGAGAGAGGTTGGATTACAACAGCAATTTAATTCCCAACTCCAAACAGCGTGAGGCGTTAAAATGATGGCATTGGTTGGCAGAAATGTGATCCTAAAACTTGGAATGGGTACGTATTGGCAGATAATCTGGAAGCTGAGGATTGAGCCCCTAAATTCTATTGAATCACTTCTGCCAACAGAACCAGCCCTCACTCCCATCTGAAGAGTTCCATCCAGTTTTGTCTGCTAGCAACCCTCCCCAGTAAAACCATTCTCCCACCCCTATCTGATGGGAGTGACTCTGATGTGAGTATCTGAAAATTCCTTGTCAGAGACATCTATTGGGACGATCCTGAGGCATCGCCTGAGGCAGATGCCTTATAAACATTGCTGAATGAAAATAAGACCGACTCACAGTTTTGCCTCTTGCTGAAATATAAGGCATCTCCCAGAAAATAAGGCCCCCCAAAGCTACCCTAACTCTGGACTCTGGACCATAGCAGTGGGTACCACTGCGCAGCTCACTGTTGGCCACAGTGCAGCCGGAGCAGACAGGAAGTGCGAGGTCTCTTTTAATAAAACAGTTAGCAATAAATGTGTACCGTATTCTTCTTCATGGAAAAATAAGACATCCCCTGAAAATAAGACCTAGCCCATCTTTGGGAGCAAAAACTAATATAAGACACTGTCTTATTTTCAGGGAAACAGGGTACATCTATAAAGAGATCATGGAGCCCAGTATTGTCAGCCCAAACAGGCCAGGAATAACTGTGGAACAAAGCATTAATTGCTTACATACAAGTTTAGGTTGAAGCTGAAGAAAAGTGAAAAGAAAAAAAAATCCGCAAGAGACAAAATATGAGTCCCTAAGTATATCTTTCCCCGTCTTCATATTCAGCTTCCTATTTCACTGAGAAAATAGAAGCACTTGGAAGAGATTGGCCTCATTTTCCCACTACCATTGTATTTATTTAGTTTTAATAATTTCACTGGGGCTCATACAGCTCTTGTCACAATCCATACATCCATCCATTGTGTCAAGCACATTTGTACATATGTTGCCATCATCATTTTCAAAACATTTTCTTTCTAGTTGAGCCCTTGATATCATCTCCTCATTTTCCCCTCCCTCCCTCATGAACCCTATATAAATTATAAATTATTACTGTTTTTTCATGTCTTACAATGACTGATGTATCCTTTCACCTACTTTTCTGTTGTCTTCCCTCCTGAGAAGGGATTATATATAGATTATTGTGATCAGTTCCCTGTTTCTCCCCCCACTATCCCTTTTCCCTCCTGGTATCACTACTCTCATTATTGGTCCATGGGGTAGGGTGGGGGAGCGGAGGGAGCCATTTTCTAGATGTAAAATTCTCTATGTATCTATTGAGCATTTACAAAACTAAGGCTGTGGAATTGACTCTATCTCCATCCATCTATTTATTGTTAGTTTTTTTGTGCCAACATGGTAAGATATGGGTGGAGTTTAACCTGTCAATCAGGTTGAATTGAAGCCTGATGATGTTCCTTGGAGGTGTGACCAAGATATTTAGCTCTCTGGAGGCCAGTTTCTCTCCCTCTGCCGTCACCTTTCTGCTTGCTGGCTATCCCTAGAGCTGCTGGGGCCCCGTCATGATTCCACCTACATTGAGTCCACATGACTGCATCCACAGCCCTGTGATGGTCCTGCATTCTGCATCCTTGCACGTGACTTCCTGAGTCTGAAAACAGGGCTTATGGACTGGCATCCGACTTAAGTTGGATGGGGTTAGGATGTTTTCTCAATATATCATTACTTGTTGATATCAAGTAGTGGAATGTATTACATTGAAACTCTACAGGAGCAGAAAGCTTTCTCTTCTGCAAAACTGCTAGCGGTTTTGACAGGCAGGGAAGATTAAGGATAAAGGGGGTTGTCTCCACTGACTGCCTAAGCTAAATGAAAATTAGCTGACCATGCTACAATAAAGGGGTTTGAAAAAAATCAGACACACATTAGAAACCAATGGGGAAGATCCAAAGCTGGGCACGTGTTGATGAAGGTCACCTTGACATACTGATGAAGGGCCACTTGGGAATGCACGCTAGCAACCAACACTTTGTCTTAGATGTGCCTAAACGCAGCCTCTCCGGACAATAGCCTCAACCACTTTTCCCCTCAAGTGGGAGTAGGAGGGATAAAAAGCAGACTGAGGGCAGGCCCTTTCTTTTTCAGTTGGGTGGGTGGGTCTCAATTCTGGAGCTCACTGGTGTGCTCCCTTTGGCAGTCCCGGTACTACTCTTGGTTCCCCAGACTCTTCCAAAAGTGGCCGTTTTCGGCTTGGAACTCTCCCAACCCTCCCCCACAGCCACGCAGTCTTGCCTGCGTTCCAGGGATCGCATGTACTATCTGAGACTATATTACCCGAAACTTCCCTTTCTCTATGTTACTTGGACTTACAAAAGTGCTTCTGCCAAGTGAATGCTTTCAGCGTTGAGAAGCAAGAACTGGGAAAACCATCCCAGAAACCCAACATTTCAAACTGCTGACCTTGCGAATCACAGCCCAACGAGTAACCACTACACTACTTCTATAAATGATGATAACTACTTTTTAAAAACATCATATTATTGAGGGTTCTTACAGATCTTATCACCATCTATCCATCCAGCCATCCTGTCAAGCACATTAATACATGCTGCTATAATCATTTTCAAAACATTTTCTTTCTACTTGAGCCCTTGATATCAGCTCCTCACTTTGATAATTATCTTTTTAAAAGAAAATTATACACTTTTAAAACCCAGCGCGGTTTTGAAGGTAGCTCCTAAATTAGCAAGCCAAGACCCGTCCCCAGGCGCTTCCCGGAAATGAGCTCCACAGGTCTTATGGGAAATGTAGTCTACGGTAGCTGGCTTATCACCGGAAGGAGCCTGGGAACGTTGGGTAAAGTTACTTCCGCACATGCGCATTAGCGCTGCCGTTGGTATAAAGTCTTCTGCCAGGGGTTGCGGGGCTTGAGTGCAGAGGCATTCCCGGAACGTCTGTACCTGCGCGTTACTGCTTCCCCGGAGTTCGGAGACGAAAGGGTGGCCGGAGCGACTGCAGGACTTGGACCGAGGGGAGTTCAGGGAGAAAAGCGGAGACTGGCTTGTGGATTTAATGGATCGAAGGTAAAAACTTCACACTCCCACGAGGGTGGGTGGCTTCGTGATTGGGTGTGTGGGTCTGTCAGAACTGGACTACTTAGGAGAAAACATGAGCTGGCCTCACCGCCTCTGGCCAGCACACGTAACCTAGGTGGGGGTGGAACAAGCCCTGTCTGCGTTCCTACCTCCGTGTAAAGGTCAGTGCGTGGGGATCTGCCTCTCCTACTGTGCCTTTTCTGGTAGGACCATCGACCCTACCTGAGCCCGCGGCCGGATTTCTTATCCTCGATCTTTTGTAAATTACATTCAGAGCATCAAGTTTGTGTTCAACAGTGTAAACTACTCATCAAATACCCCAGTGCCTTACTCTTCACGCGGTTCTTTTTTGTTTTGTTTTGTTTGTTTTCACCGGATTCTTGATAACTTTACTCCCTCTTCCAGTACATCCACGTGACCACCTTCCACATCTCCCCTTGCTTTATCTTTCCTCCCGTCCTTGGCAGTCTCCAAAGGCTGTTTGTTTTGGTGTGAATGCCTTTATCTTGTCCGCCCATCCTCCCCCGCCCCTTGCCCTTTTATGATTGAGGAGCACTAGGGGCAAAGTAAATTATACATTGGACTCCTAGTCGTGAGGTCAGCAGTTTGAAAGCGCTGGCTGTTCTTTGGGAGAAAGATGAGGCTTTTTACTCCCAAGAAAAGTTAGTCTTGGAAATCCACAGGGACAGCTCTACTTTGTCCTGTAGGCAGAATCTACTCAATGGCAGTGAGTTTGGCTTTGGTTAGAACTTCCCTCAGCATAATGTTCTCCAAGGACATGTGCTGTGACAGGGAATTTTAATCATTTAAGTATAACAACTTTTTTTTTTAATTAAAAAAAAGAGTAAGAGCTTTCAGGTGCTCTCTCAGCCTTATCTTAAGTATATGTGATAGGTTGATTGTGCCAACCTGGCCACTGAACACATGTGGGATTAATTGAAGGGCAGTTTAATTGAAGGGCAGTTTAATTGAAGGGCAGTTTAATTGAAGGGCAGAGATAAAAGGCTCGCTTTTCTGGTGTTCTCATCTCTTGCTTACTCATGGTCGGATCGGTTGCAGCTGCCTTAGCTAGTTCTCTGCCTCGGCTGACAAGGCTCACTTCTTGTGAAGCATCCCTGAGGAGAAGCCACGTGGACCCACTGTGATGCAGCCCTGGGTGCTGGAGAAGCCACGTGGAGATCCTGCCAGCGCTGAGATGCTTACACCGCCACTGGATTCAAAGACTTTCTACCCACTGGCCTGTGATCATCCTGCATACGGCGTCATTGTGTGTGTTTTGTGAATTTGTGGAGGACTTTGTAGATCGGTGCCGGACTTATGGGCTTGGACTGGACTTGTTTGGGATGTTGTCTTAATGTACACTTAGCCTTTATATAAAACTCTTATTCACATAAGAGTTTCTGTGGACTTGCTTTTCTAGTCTACCTAGACTAACACAGTATATGTTACCACCGATTTTCATATGAATTAACTGAAATTCAAGAGAAGTTATACAACTTGCTAATTAGTAAGTGGAGGAGTTGAGATTCAAACTCAGATGAATTAATTAAATCTTGTTGTTTTACAATATTACACCCTTTCTAAAGGTTAGGTTTGTCCTTGTTTTGAAATATTTGAGCGATGAATGCAATTTTTGGTCTTATTTTTCAGGGTCTTATGATGTATCTCCATATATTTCAGTAAAGTCAACTGAAGCAATGAGTCCCTCCTGCACATGTTAACCGCTCTAGGGTCACAGCAATGCTGATTAGAATTCCAAAAAGGCGCCATTTGGGCTAGTAGATGTTGAGTTCCCAGAATCGGGAAGCTAGAGAAATTGTTCCTGGGCCTTTGGATCCAGCAGTACCAGAAAAGCCTATGCTAATTTTAGTTCTCTTACCCTAGCTTAAGTACAGAGATCTAAGAATCACTCTCGCCATGCCATTGAGTTGGTTCTGATTCTATAGGGCAGGGTAGACCTGCCCTTGTGAGTTTCTGAGACTGTATCTCTTTACCAGAGCTGAAAGCCTCTTTCTCCCATAGAGCAGAGAGAATCACAGGAAGGAATAATTTCTATCTAGAACTGTTTAATTCTAGAGACCAGGATTATCTTTAGTCTTTTAACTCCTCCATTATTTCCCTAGGGTAAATTTCTAGGAAAGAAAGATCACTGGTTCAAAAGTTAACAGCGAGTGGTATGATTGGTAGGACAGAAATGTAGAGTATCCTTGCCCAAGTTCTGTATATTCATAATGGAATCATGGTAGAGGTTGGTGCTGATAGAAGTTAATTTTTTTGACTTACTAAAAGGTCTTTCTCTAAGGTAGCGTTTTCTAATGCTGCCATGTGTGGACTTCTAATCTGCTAGATAAGGGTTCACCATTTCAGCTGTGGTTTCTCATGTCTTTTCCCCGTGTCTACTTTCACAGATTGCTGTCCAAGAGCCGCAGATAATGGTCACCTTCCAGGTAAGGCAGTCATCTTTTTTTTCTCTTTCAACATTATGTTTGAGTCCTTGATATCAGCTCCTCTTTTTACCCTCCCTCCAGCCCTCCCACCCTCATGACCCCTTGATGAATTATAAATTATTATTTCCATATCTTACACCAACCACTGTCTCCCTTCCCCCGCAGTTTCTTCCCCACCCCTCTCCCCACCTTCCCCTGCCCTTCCTGGTATTTCGATACTCCCATTTTTGTTACTGAGGGGTTTATCTGACCTGGATTCCGCATGTCCTGAGCTCTTATCTGTACATGTGTACATGCTCCAATCTAGCCTGAAGTGAAAGGCAGGATAGGGGTCATGATAGTGGGAGGTGATGAAGCCGCAAGGGACCGGAGGAATATTGTGGTTTTCAGCCGTGCTATACTGTGCCCTGGTTGACTCATCCCTTCTATGAGGGGATGTCGCATTGTCTACAGATGGATTTAGGGTCTCTGCTCAGAACTCCCCCTCGTTCTCAACAATGTTTGTTTGTTTGTTTGGGGTCTTCTGATGCCTGTTTACCTGATCCTGTAGCACAGGCAGGTGTGCTGCTTCATGTGGGGTTGTTGCTTCTCTGCTAGATGGATGGCCAATCATTTAGCTTTAAGCCTTCAAAACCCCAGACTATATCTTTTGGTAGCCAGGCACCATCAGCTTTCTTCACCACATTTGCTTATACACACATTTTGTCTTAAGCAATCGTGCCAGGAGGGAGAGCATCACAGAATGCCAGGTTGTTAGAACAAAGTGTTCTTGCATTGAGGGAGGGCTTAAGCAGAGGGCCAATGTCCTGTGACTTTTTTTTTTTTCACATTGTGATATTTTTTGTTTAATAAGGTTTCTATTAGTTAAGTTTTTAATCCTTTAAAAAATATTAAAATCATTTTATTGGGGGCTCATACAACTCTTAGCACAATCCATGCATCCATCCATGTGTCAAGCACATTTATACATTTGTTGCCATACATCCATTGTGTCAAGCACATTTGTACATTTGTTGCACGCATCATTCTCAAAATATTTGCCCTCTACTTAAGCCCTTGGTATCAGCTCCTCATTTTCCCCCTCCCTCATGAGCCCTTGATAATTTATAAATTATTATTTTGTCATGTCTTACACTGTCTGACGTCTCCCCTCACCCACTTTTCTGTTGTCCCAAGAGAGGAGGTTTTATGTAGTTCCCCCTTTCTACCCCACCTTCCCTCCACCCTCAGGTATCACCACTCTCAGCACTGGCCCTGAAGGGATCATCTGTCCTGGATTCCTGTCCTAGATTCCCTGTGTTTCCAGTTCCTATCTGTACCAGTGTACATCCTCTGGTCTAGCCGGATTTGTAAGGTAGAATTGGGATCATGATAGTGGGAGGGAGGAAGCATTTAAGAATTAGAGGAAAGTTGTATGAGAACATAGTGCCAAGTAGAACTAAATCAATAAACTAGGTTTCAAGTCCAGGTACATAGATTGCTTAATGTCTACCTGTATCCACAAGTGAATCTTTTACCTTTTCCAAAATTGCCAGATATTCTCTTCAACATGAGTTTTGTTTTTTTTTTTAAGTTTTAAAAGCAGCTTGTCAAAGTCCATAAAGCAGCTTGTTAGGTATATTTTTGTGTGTGATGGTATTATAATTTGGAGATAATTCATAACCAGTAACTCAGTGGAGTCCTCTCCATTAGTTTTTCTTGTAAATCCCTCATTGCTATTCAAAAGGTTTATCATTTTAATTCTTAAACATTTCTTATGTTATCTTTTTTAATTGCTTGTTTTTATTTTAAAATATTTGTATTTCTAATTAAAATACTTATGGCAAAACATTTCCGTTTAATGATTTCTACACATAACATTCAGTGATCTTGATTACATTCTTCAACTTGTATAAACATTACCATTTTCTTTAAAAAACTTTATTGGGGGCTTATACAGCTTTTATCACAATCCATATATCCATCCATTGTTTCAAGCATATTTGTACATGTGTTGCCATCAACGTTTTCTTTCTACTTGAGCCCTTGATATTGGCTCATTTTCCCTCTCCCCCATCCTTCCTCCCTCATGAACCCTTGATAATTTCTCATCTCCCCCCCCCCCCCCCATGTCTCACACCAACCACTGTCTCCCTTCACCCGCTTTTCTTTTGTCTTACCCCCTGGGAGCGGGTTATATGTAGATCATTGTGATCAGTTCGGCCTTTCTCCTCCCACCTTACCCTTACCCTCCTGGTATCGCTACTTGGGTTTATCTGTCCTGGATTACCTGTGTTTCAAGCTCTTATCTGTAGCAGTGTACATGCTCTGGTCTAGCTGGATTTGTAAGGTAGAATTGGGGTCATGATAAGTGGGGGTGAGGAAGCATTGAAGAACTTGAGGAAAGTTGTGTTTCATCGGTGCTATAGTGCACCCTCACTGGTTCGTCTCTTCCTTGTGACCCTTCTGTAAGGGATGTCCAGTTGTCTACACATGGGCTTTGGGTCTCCACTCCACACTCCCCCTCATTCACATCGATATGATTTTTTTGCTCTGGGTCTTTGATGCGTGATACCCGATCCCATCTACACCTCATGATCACACAAGCTGGTGGGCTTCTTCTATGTGGGCTTTGTTGCTTCTCACCTAGATGGTTGCTTGTTTATCTTCAAGCCTTTAAGATCCCAGATGCTATATCTTTTGATAGCTGGGCACCATCAGATTTCTTTACCACATTTACTTATGCACCGATCTTGTCTGCAGCAACCATGTCGGGAAGATGAACATCACAGAATGCTGGGTGATTAGAACAAAATGTTCTGCCTTCATTTGGGTTTCAGTAATTCCTCTTGGTTGCATTGCCCTTGTTCAAGACCCACCAGGCATCCTATGCTCTCCTCACCATTGATTTTAGATCACTTGTTCCCTTGTCCCTGGGTTTGTTGACACCCTCTTCCTTTCCCCACCTCCCCATCTCCCATGTCCCCCCAGAACCGTCAGTCAAGTCGTTTTCTCCTCCAGATTGCTCCTCCGACCTATCTTATCTAGGTAGACATGCAGAGACAGTAATAAGCACAAAAACAAGACAGAACAAAACAACAATAAAAACCAACGACAAAAAAAGAAAAGCCTATAAATCAGCAGTTGGCAACCTGTGGGTTGCGACCCTTTTGGGGTTTGAACAGCTCTTTCACAGGGGTCGCCCAGTACATAACAGTAGCACAATTACAGTTATGACTAGCAACGAAAATAATTTTATGGTTGGGTCACCACAACATGAGAAGCTGTGTTAAAGGGTCGCTGCATTAGGAAGTTTGAGAACCACTGCTATAAATAGTTCTAGGTCTGTTTGTTGACCTTTAGGAGTGTTTTCTGGTCAAGACTGATGGGGTGCCACACCTGGTGCCAAAAGTCTGTTTTTGGTATTCCCCGGGGACTTCATTGCTTTGCTCCCCTTGCTCTGTTTCATGCCCTTAGTGTTTCACCCCAGTGTTGTGTGGCCAGACTGGATACAATTCCCGCACTGTCTCTCCTGTGCTGTCCCTGTAGCACTTTGGGTCAGTGAGGGACGTCGTGTCTCATGGTGGGGCCAGCCCTATGGTCTTCTCTGTGCATTGGCTGCTCTGAGCAGGAATTCATCCTTGGGGCTTGGTGGGCCAGGATGTGCCCCACTCTCTCTCCTTCCCTCTTTGTTTGCTCCCGTGTGCTCTGATCGATGCACACCTCTCCCTGAGCTGGAGCTTCAGTGCTGTCCTCTGAAGTGCATTCTTCTGGTGGGGGGGTGGGTGGGGGGGACAACATAGTTGGGATTGGGGCAGGCCCCGCAGACCCCTCTATTGGTTCTCTGCTTCATGTCTTATTATGTTATTATATATGGTTTAAATTAGTATTGAGAATACTAATGGATACTTTTTCTTCATTTTATTTTCTTGTTCACTCGTCTAGTTTATAGGATCTGTCTTTGTTGATCTGATGCCTAACCAGCTTGTAGAGCTCTTATTAAGTCCAACAGTTTTTAGTTGATTCTTAGATTTTCCAGGTGGACTATCATGTATTTTCTTCTTTTTTTTTTTAATCATGTATTTTCAAAGGGAAGTTTTGTACCTTCCTGTATAGCTCCTCTCCTCTCTACCACGTGTCCCTGCTATTCCCCCCTAGCCCTTGTCATATTGCAGTGCCCAGGACTTCCAGTAACTATAATTTTGAATGGTGATGGCTAGCCAAAAACTTGGTTTTAGTGAAATTTAATGGAAATTCTTCCAGTGTGTGATGTTTCCTCTCATATTCTGGTAGAATTTTAAAAGATCAAATAGGAAAAAAAAATCAAATTGAAGATTTTTTTTCAGTTTGCAAAGATTGTTTTCATAAATTGGGCTTTGTTTTTTGTGTTTTTAATTACCATCCAAAAAATCTAATATACCCGCTTCTCGCTTACAGACATGGTTAAGATCCTTATGTAAAAATCAGTCTCTTATCTGAAAACACTAGATGACTGGATTATCATAAAATGGAGAATGATCATATCATTATATAACTGTCAAACTGCATCATTACTGTCAGCCACTGAGAATCATGGCCCAGCCAGATTGGCACAAACAAAACCTTAAACATCGTAGGCAGTGTTACTCTCTCCTAGCCCTGTCTTGCCAGATGTCTACTGTTATGCGCAAACCTGGACTCAGAGGAACCAGTGTGAGGATGATGCAGGACTAAGCAGTGTTCTGTTTAGTACCTAGAGTCTCTATGAGTTAGAACTGACTC